TGCTTTATTCTTCCCATCCCAATTCATACCCCCTTTTTTTTACTGTCATGTCATTATTTTGTTTCTCTCCCTGAAACCTACTTCTCTCCCGCTCCTGCTCCCCTCTGTGTGTGTGTGTGTGTGTGTGTGTGTGTGTGTGTGTATCTGTCTGTCTGTCTGTCTCTATCTCTGTCTCTCTGAGGCAGGGTCTCACTATATAGCCTTGGTAGGACTTGAACTTAGAGATTGCCCTGCCTGCCTGCCTCTGCCTCCCAAGTGCTAGAATAAGGTCATGTGCCACCCCTTTATATACCTGCCATCTTTACATTTTTTAATCGTCTTGCTTATTAGACTGTGCTTGGATTGTATGTTCCATAAGAACCCAGGGATTTCTTCGAGTTCACTACTAAATTCCCAGTGCCTAAAATGCTGCTTTCCATTTACAAGATGCTAGGCTCTCAGAGAGTGAGTGACTGAGTTGAGAGAAAGCCTTTTTAATATGAAGTATTATTTTCCACTTTAATTCTGTATTCACATGCAGGTGTTTCTTTTGTAGGAATTTTTAATTACTTAAAATGAACAAAATGAGCATCAAACTAACAAAATCCCTTGAATATATTAAAGGAGAAAATGTTTCAATCAAGAAGGCAATTATTGTTGGTATGCATGAGTGAGAGGCAAACCTGGAGTATACGCCTGCAATCCCAGTTACTCAGCTATTCAGGAAGCTCAGGCAGAAAAATTGAGAGTTCAAGGCCACCTTGGGTAACTTTAGGAGGACCTAAATCAAAATAAAAAAAACTGAGTGGGAATGTAGATCAATAATTTGAACATGTAAGCCACAATTGTAATTACATATTGAAATACCAGAAATTAAATCATTAAGAATCATAAAAAATTAGCATGAGATAAAGTGATGTGTAAAGAACAGTAAAATAAATAGACATCTATTTAAAAGTTGTAATCACATATAAAACAAAAAATCAGTAATATAGAAAAAGTTATATTACATATAATAAATACATAGCCATTTAATAAGAAAACGTCCAACATGGTGGAATACATGTAAAATATTCAGAAAAACTATAAAACTAATTTATGTAATGTAAAAGATAATGGTGTTAATTTTGATTTTTCCTTTTTTAATTAATTGTTTTCTGTTATGTATTTGGATCATATTTTTCCCCTTCCCCAACTCCTCCCAGATCCTCCCCACCTAACTATCTTCCCAACATTATGTTCTCTCTGACTCTCCGTCCCTCTCTCTATCTTAAAAAAAAAAAGAGAGACAAAAAAATCTACAAAAGCATTTTCATGCGTGTATATAATATACTTCAATTATACTTCAATTATATTCACTTCCTGTTACCCTCGCTTTTCTCTCTCTCTCCTCCTGCTGGTCCCCCCACCAAAACTCCCTCCTTCTGCTTCCATGTCTTTAAACACAAATCTACATTCTAGTTTTGAAAGAAAATATAAGTTGTCTTTCTGAGTCTGGCTTATTAAAATTACCATGATGATGCACACTTCTGTCCACTCTTGTGAAAATGTCACAATTATATCCTTTATGACTGAACTGTATTCCAGTATGTGTGAAATGCCACATTTTCTTTGTCCATATATCTATGGTTGGGCATCTAAAGTGATTCCATAACTTGGCTATTATAAATGGTGCCATCATAAACAGTATTGCATGCTGGCTTTGAATATATACTCAGGAGAAGCAAAATCAGATCATATGCTTGTTCTATTTTTCACTTTTCAGGAACTTTTATATTGATTCCTAAAAGGCTAGGGTACTTTATAGTCCCACCAACAATACATAAGAGTTCCCTTTTCCCATATATGTACCAGCATATTCAGTCTCCGCTTTAGTCAAAAAAAAATTAATGAAGTACTACATTTTTTCTCTTACTGAAAATAATTTTATATAATATGTATCCTGACTATGGAGTCCCTTCCCCCAACTCATCCCAGTCCCCACCCCACCCAGTTTTTCCATCCAGATCTACTCCCTTTCTGTCTCAGAAATGCCCAAGATGCAACTCACAGGCCACATGAAGCCCATAAAGAAGGAAGACCAAGTGGGGGTGATTCGGTCCTTCTTAGAAGGAGCAACAAAATACTCAAGGGAGCAAATATGGAGACAAAGTGAGGGACAGAATCTGAAGGAGGGGCCGTCTCAAGACCACTCCACCTGAGTATCTATCCCATGTGCAATCACCAAAGGTAGATGCTGATGTGGAAGACAGGAAGTGCATGCTGATAAGAGCCTGATATGGATATCTCCTCAGAGGTCTTCAAGAGTCTGACATATTCAGAGGCAGATGCTCACAACTAGCCATTGAACTGATCATGGGGTTCTCAATAGAGGAGTTAGAGTGAAGACTGAAGGAGAGCTGAAAGGATTTGCGGCACCATGAGGAGAGCAACAGTACCAACCAACCACAGCTCCCAGGGTCTAAACCACCAGCCTGGGAGCACTTAGGGAGGGATCCAGGGCTTCAGTTGAATATGTAAGAGTGGAGGGCCCTGTTGGGCATAGGTGGAAGAAGAGAACCTTGACCTCATGAAGGCTGGATGCCCCAGGGGGTGGGAATTTTGAGGGTGGGGAGGTGGGAGTCGGGGGGTAGATAGAGGTTACATCCACAGAGAAGAAGGAGGAGGGGTGAGGGGATTGGGGGTTCCGGGGTGGGTGGGGGATGGGGTAAGGGGACAACATAGGAAATGTAAATAAAACATCCAATAAAAAAAACAGACAGGCATCTAAGGAACACTAATAAAATAAGATAAAACAAAAAACAGCTAATTTGGAATAGAATACCAGAAACAAACAGGAAAAAACCAAAACAACAAAAAGAAGAAGCACAGCAACACATACAGTCCTGCACAGGGATACATAAAAACAAAACTGGAAGCCATAATATATATATGCAAAGAACCTCTAAGGGGTTAAAAAATAAAATGCCTTGACCCAACATTATCAGACAAGCAACTGCCAAAGATGCCATCTAGTTCTTTGTGTGTTAGCAAGTGCTTATCAATTGGAACGAGCTTCTGATTGGAGATGGAGGAATGTGTCCACTTCTGTCAGTTCTAGGAATTCATCTGGTACAGATCCATACAGGCCTTGTATTTGCTGCCACAGTCTCTGAGTTCATATGTACTTAGTCCTGTTCTGTTCAGAGGGCCTTGTTTTCTGGTTGTCCTCGATCCCCTCCTGCTCTTGGATCTTTTTGCCTCTTCTTCAGGCAGAGTTCCCTGAACTAAGGGAAGGGATTTGATAGAGACATCACATTAGCACTGAGTGTTCAAGGTCTCTCACTTGATGTACATTGTCTGGCTTGGAGCTCTTGTATTTGTTCCTATCTGTTGCAGGGGGAAGCTTCTTTGATGATGGCTGAGCAAGGCACTGATCCATAAGTATAGCAGTATGTCATTTTGAGATATTTTATTGTCCCCAAATTCCTTTGAGACATTCCTTTAGTATAGAGGTTCTCAACTTGTGAGTTGAGATCCCTTCAGGGGTTTCATATCAGATATCCAGTATATCAGATATTTATATTCTGACTCATTATGATAGGAAAATAACAGTTATGAAGACACAGTAAGATAATTTTATCATTGGAATCACCATATCATGAGGAACTCTATTGAAGGGTTGCAGTATTAGGAAGGTTGAAAACTACTGCTTTAGTAAAACAGTAGTATTTGATTTTTCCTTAGGCCTCTAGCCTATCTAGTCTCAGATTCTTGGCCACCCAAGCAGTGTCAGCTATAGGTTCTATCCATGGAAAAGTACTACATTTTACTTCTTAGATCATGATAGACTATAATAATAATAATAATAATAATAATAATAATGATATAGACTTATTTTGATTACTTTGCCTGTGACTAAAACAAGAGCACTATTCTATATGAACACTGTTATAAGCATCATAGGGCGTATAGTTAAATTTGAATATACATCTGTATCCAGCAATTCAATATCCAGATATTTGTCTTAATGAAAACATTTGTAAAGTATGTAAAGCTATATATACTAGTAGAGTTATAAAATTGCTGTTTATTTTATTGAAAATTGAAATCTCATTCGTGAATTTCTCTTACTACCTGGTTCTACTTTGTTGTGTTAGAGGACTGTCTGAACCATTTATTTTATTTAAAGTTTTTTGTTTAGATAAATTTGTTCTTCCTTTAGTGTTATCCCTGGTCCTGTGGATTATACCAGGAAAAGGCTGGTTTCCTATTACACATGCACATTCAGTGAAAACATACAGAAACTGCTTAATGTCTGTGTAACATCTAGGATCACTTTATATAAGATTCATAGCTTTTTACTACATGTAACATCTGTATAATGTAGCCCTTAGAAATGATGATGATGTAGTTTTGTTTTAACTTCAAGTGATTTTTTTCACACGAGAGAAAACAAGAAAGAAAACAGTATATTCTATGCACCTACTTTTGTTACAAACTATGTAATATATATATATATGTATGTATATATATACACACATATACTGGGATAGTATATACTAAACTACAGTGAAATTAACATGGAGATATGGCTAGGATCAATCTTTAACTTTTAGTTTCATATATATGTGTGTGTGTGTGTGTGTGTATGTGTGTGTGTGTGTGTGTGTCAAGGTCTCACTGTATGGCAAGGGAACTTGATATGTAGATAAGGCGGGCCTCAAATTCAGAATCAGCTTGTCTATGCCTCCTGATTGTGGAATTAAAAGTATGTGATATGTGCAGCATGTTCTAATATCTTAAACTGTCATTACACATGTATTTTTCAATAATGAGATTAAAAGAAAATAGGACTGTACATTTTTCCTTTACCATTTTAATTATAATTAGCTATCCAAAAGCTAATTTAGATCTCTTATAAACTAGAGTAAATATGGTGTCATTTATGTTTTTAAAATATCTGTACTTTTGATCTTTGTCTTCACTGGTGTCTTAGTTTGTTATTTTTTCCAGCACTATTTTACTTCTGTTTAAAACAGGCCATTCAGAAGGGCAATACAGAAGTTGCAAGAATACATGCTGAAAATGCAATCCGTCAGAAAAACCAAGCAATCAATTTCTTGAGAATGAGTGCTAGGGTTGATGCTGTGGCAGCCAGAGTTCAAACTGCAGTAACAATGGGCAAGGTAAGACTAAGCATCTGGCAATCAAAGTAACATTGATGGAGTTCAAGGAGAATAAGAAAACTTAAACAAACCAGAAGTCTTCATCTGTTACAAGTTATTATAGGGTATAGATAAATAACTTCATGGAAAGTTGGATTTAGTGAGGAAAATTATTTTGGCAGTGGACTTTTTAACCATTTTATTAGCTGTTTACTAAGGAAACATCAGTAATGTAAAATATTGCCTATACCAAGATGCATAGATGTGGTTTTATTGTAAAAGAAGTTATAGACAAGTTTCCTAAGTTGATATATTAACAGTATGCATAAAAGATTACCAAGTTTACATGTTGCCAAATTGGTTTTGTATTCCACATAGGTGACAAAATCCATGGCAGGTGTAGTTAAATCGATGGATGCTACATTGAGGAGTATGAACCTTGAGAAGGTAAACTATAAAGAAGTACCATTCTCACTTGATATTTAGCTAGCATCTTTTGAGGATACATTTTTCTTATGACCATATCGTTTTAGATTTCTGCCTTAATGGACAAATTTGAACATCAATTTGAAACATTGGATGTTCAGACACAGCAGATGGAAGATACAATGAGTAGCACTACTACCCTCACCACACCACAGGTAAGAGTAGTGTCTTTACTTTCAATGGTTTCTTAAAGCTGAATTGATCTGGCCATAGTGACACATGCTTGCTGTCATAGTACTTAGGAGCTGAAGCAAGGTTTCTAGGAGATTGAGACCAACCTGTGCCTTGGAATAAATTCCAGGCCATCCTGGGTTACACAGTAGGAACCACTCTCAAAACACAAATCACACACTTTTAAAATATAATGGTTTTATGAATATAAATCATCTCCTTACCTTATACAAGGGAAACGTGCCCCAAGTGCAGGTGGGAAGCTTGCTACTGCTCAGCCCTCAGATTGTTAAGAATGTTTTAGGGGATAATGTTACCTAGCACCTAGTATGGTTTGGAATTCTGGTGATTTTATTAGTGTACATATGTAGAATCTAGAGCCTGTTTCTACATGCTGGCTAATGCTCTTATCTTATTAATAAAATTTAGCAGGCACATAGTATTTGGGTAACATATTTTGATATATACATTGTTTAATGTTTAAATCAGTGCTTGCATTTCTACTCAAACATTTGATATTTTTAAATGGTATAAAAATGGAAAATCCTTTCCCCTAGTGTTTAGAAATATACATTATCGTTACCATAGTTACTCTTTTCACAGCAGAAAATTAATTCTAGACCCCATGTTTTGATTGGGTTGCTTGGTTTCTTGGTGGTTAGCTTCTTGAGTTCCTTATATATTTTGTATATTAGCCCTCTATTGGATCTATCTTTCTTAGTCTTCCATCTAATACTGTGATCTTCATTTCCATTGAATTTCCTGAAAATTAACATAATTTTCTTCTTTGTGTTTGATAATTCTCTATTGTGTATATTTACTATATTTTCTTTGTCCATCTATCTGTTGGTGGAAAGAGATGTTAATTCTCTTATACAGCTATTTTGGATAATGCTGAAATGGATATGCCAGTATTTATGTTGTATGCTGACTTAAATTCCTTGAGGTATATACCCAGGAGTGGTATGACTGGATTATATGATAATTGTATTTAGGGTTTTTTTTAAAGACCCTCCATAATGGATTCTATAAGGGCTAATAACTAATTTATATTCTTACCAATGGTAAATAACTTTTATCTCACATTCTGGTTAGCATTTATTGTTTGTTTTCTTTCTGTTTTTTTTTTTAACTGAAAAGACATTTTTTCATAAAATATGTTCTAATCACAATTTCTCCTCCTATTTCATCCCCACCTCCAAGTGCATGCCTCTTTCTCTGTCTTTAGAAAGCAGACAGGCAAATAAATAAGAAAACAAAGCATAATGGAACAAAACAAACAATCGAATAGAGGAGAGGAAAGGGCATGAGAAGCACATGCACGCAGAAAGACACATAGGTGTTTTCAAGTATTCTCAGGGCTTATAGTTATGTTTTTGTTCCACCTTGAGTTGACCTTCATATGACATGAAAGGAGATTACGTTTCAGTATTTTGAATGCAGCTTTTGTAGCAACATATATTGAAATGGCTGACATTTCTCCAGCACCTTTGTCCAAAAGTTCTTTTATCTGTAGTATTGGCATGGGTTTATTTCTATATACTGACTCTGTTCCACTGGTCTGTCTTTCTTTAGGCCAATGTCTTACACTACTTTGGTTACTAGGTTTCTGTAGTATGTCTCAGTCAGATGCTGTTTTCCTTCTAGCTTTGACCATTTTATACCTTACATCTTTGACTATATGCATTATTTTGCATATTGATATGGATTTCAGGAACTTTTGCCTAGTTTTATGAATACAGCCACTACAATTTTGATGAGAATTGCTACAGAATGATGGTTCCTCCCCCTCTATGTAAAATCCCTCCCCATCTTTACTTTTTAACAATGTATACATTAGAACAATTATAGCATTGCAATTAAATCATACCTCAGTGTTTAATTTTTTCCTTGGCCTAGGGTGATAGCCCAGTGGGTAAGAGCACTTTACACACAAGCATGAGGACTTGTGTTCAAATCTCCTGAAGAAGTATAAACAGGCATGACACAGAGCATAGCTATAACCCCAGTGTTGCAGTAGACAGAGACAAGAAAGATCTCTGGGGCTTGCTGACCGTCAGTCCAACTCCAGGTTCAATGAGAAACCCTGGGTCAAATGAATAAGGTGGAGAGTGATACAGTAGAGCATATGGTGTCCTCTTCTGCTGTCATACTTGTGTACAAGTGCATGTGTGTCTCCTCAATTTTCATATCAAGCATACACACACATTTGCACAGGTAACACAGAAGTGATTTCCTTCCTTTATCTCCTTCCTGCCTTCTCTCACCTAGAACTAATCTGCTTCTCATCAACAACTCAATCACATGCAAAATAATATAAGCAGGTGTTGATGTTTTGTAATATTATAGGACAGAGTTGGGTAAATGAAAATATACATATCCTATAACCCAGGAGTTACACTTCCAAGCTCATGCACCGAGAGGTTCCTTGTATGTGAACAAACATATGCATACACACACACATACACAAACACACACATACACACACACACACACACACACGGATATTCATTTAACCATTGTCTATGATAGAAATTAAGAAAAAATAAATGTACAGAAATTAAGTATATATGCTAAATTTACTATATTTATATATCTCAAGTGCCTATCAAAGAGTTATATTGAATGAACTATATCTCTAGACACCAATAAAATTAAATTTAGAAGATTAAGGAATGTAAGTTTTAGAACAATACAATACTCAAATTTCAGGACACAGTGCTACTTTAGTTATGTATATAAACAAACCTTCTTTATATGTTTTTATTATATTCTGAATATTTTCTACATTTTTGAAAATATTTTTGAATGAGTTCAAAGAACAAAAGAAAGTAAGGTCCCAACAATAAGATTAGTAGTTTCCTTTGAACCATGCAACTTATTACTGGTAGAATTATGACCACACTTTAGAATTTCTTCTTGTGTGCTCAGACATTTTTAATAACTGCTTAAAAATGAGAAGAGAGTTTTGATTAAACAGAAGGTATTTCTTAAGAACTCTTATAATATAGTAAATGTGTCAATATAGGACTAATTGTGTGTGCACCTATAAGCCCAGCATTTGGAAGCTTGAAACCAGTGAACCTGAAGTTTCAGGAATTCCACACCACACTAAGTTACATAGTGAAGCCCTGTGACAAGAAAGCAATAATAACAAAGTAGCCAGAAATCCATATGAGATTGGTTTCAAGATCCCTAATAAACATCAAAACCCAATGATGCTCTATTTCCCTATTTATAGTTCTAGTGTTTGCATATAACACATATGCATCTCACACAATATTAATTGCCTCTTAACTACAAGTAATGCCTAGCACAATGTAAGTGTTGTAGTTCACTTTCTGGATTGTAGAAATGTTAACAAAGTGAAGTCTGTAAATTACGGGCACAATTTCTTCTCTGAATGTTTATGGTTTGCAATTGGCTAAGCCTATAGTCAAACCTGTGTAGGTTTCTGTGCCATAGATACATAATGTAAGTATATTTTGTTAATATTTTTTGTCAAAAGTCAATATCATGTCAGATTTGAGTTGTTTTATAGAATAATAAATCTAAGCTAATTTAAATCTATCACATACAACTAAACTGGATTATGATGGAACTTTATAAGTTAGATCACTCCCTTTGTATATTATGTTACTCACGAGATGTGAGTCTGACTTCCAGCATTGTTCAGACAACTTCAGTATTAGGTGTTAAAGCTTAACATTCCTGAAAGAGCAGAGACAGCTTGTCCTAACACTTCATAGTACTTGAGAACTAGGGAAGAAAGGGACTGAGGAGCACACTCTAGGCTGCCTGCATCAGACATTGGAGTACCACATTTTAAATGTTCCAGGGCTGGTCCCTTTCACTGTAACTTGCCACCAGTGAGAAATGGTTCCCCTCAGTACAGAAACTTACCAGACGTTTGCATTTGTACCTCTGCCTCAGACACTAAGAACCCTAGAGAAGCTCATCCTCAACCTTTTACCTCTGACTCTCAGGAGAAAGGTGGTTTTAACCTAGACATGTGAGTGAACTCTAAACTAGAAAAGGTTCTTGGGGAAACAAGCCAAGACAGAGCCTGGGTCAATTAAGTGTTACCAAGTTAAAGTGAAAGACAGTAAACTGCTTTTCATCAGTTTTTATTTTCTCTTTGCTGTTTTGCTATTTCGTGTGGCTTATAATGTAAAATTAATTGTTAAGATTTGTCCTGAATAAATATTTATTTCCTGTAAAATTAAAATAAAACTTAACATTCAGTAAGTTGTGCTCTGAAATGATGTAGCGCCCTCTTGTGGCAAAAAATATTTTAAAGGTTTGTTTTAAAAGTTTTTCAGGGCAAGGAGTATGTGTGTGTCTGTGTGTGTGTTGTTTGTTTTATTTTACAAAAGAATTATTATTTTACTTTTGATTATGTGGGGATGAGAAAACTGTGTACTAGTGACAACATATTCCTGTGGAGGACAGAGGAATTATATCCCCCAGGTTTTGGAGTTAAATACAGTTGTGAGCCTCTGGACGTGGTTACTAGGAACTGAACTGCTGAGCCATCTCTCTAGCCCCTATTTTAAACGTTGAAGGTCAGTTTCCCAAACGAAACCCAAAACCATGTAAAATGTAACACTACAAAACTATGAATTCATGTTTTCTTATTTTAGAACCAAGTGGATATGCTGCTTCAGGAAATGGCAGATGAAGCTGGGTAAGGTGTTGCTATTCAAGTCCTTTTAAATAATCTGCATTTGAAATTTAGAGGTCCTAAATGTTGATGAAATTAGGTTAGGGCTGTGAGCAGAGTTCCTACATAGTATATGTGAGGCCCTGGAGTAAAGAAGCATAAGCACTTCTAAAAATTTGCTATGGATTGAAAACTTTGTCTTTAAACCCATTAGTCCAATTTGGCGTTTTGACTTTTTTCAAATCTCTGGAGATAGATTCATTCAGAGTGTGATGTTAAGAAATACCTGGAGATGGTCCAGGGGTAAGGATGCAGCCCCATTTCGCTCAGTTATGTCAACTATATGTATCCATATATTGCTAGCTATTTCTTGGGAAAATGAGACCAGTATTGAGAAATTAATTAATTCAGTAACTGGAGTAAGAGAAGCACATAGAACCACTGATATAGAAACACTAATTTCCAGCATTAAGGACTTTGAGGTATCTAGTTGTCTGAGTTAACAATTTTCATAATGAAATTTTAGTATAGTGTATGTTTGCCTTTCTAAAAAAAAAATCTGCCAATAGCATCCCTTAATGCCATTTAAAATTACTGTTTTAACTGTAGAATGTTCATGCTAGAATACACTATTTTAGAGACAAACAGAAAAAAATAGTTTATATCCTAGAAGAATAGTGCAGTAAGAGAGTAAGGTCATGGACCTTAGAGGTCAATGAACAACAGCCCTAGATCTAAAATGAAAAAATCTAAAACAATTTTAAGCAAAAAAAGAGAAATTCTTGATTCTACTAAGAGAATTCAGGAACTGAACACTAAACTAGATTTGAATCCTAAAGTTACTTTTATCTGGCTCAAGGAAAATGTAGACTCAAGAAAAATACTTAAAGATCATCAGTCACGTATCCAAAATCATTTTGAAGACATTCAAGTTCTATTTACGTGTAAACATAGTTTTACTTTTACTTAAAGTAATAAAAGGTTACAGTGCTCAAGTTTGCAGTACTTATATGATTATTATAAAATATCTGTTAACATTCATGTATTCTGATTATTTTTAATTTTATCTTTATTTAGCCTTGATCTCAATATGGAGCTACCACAGGGTCAGACAGGGTCCGTTGGTGCAAGTGTTGCTTCTACAGAGCAGGTAGAGGTTGAATTTTATTTTAATTCATATATCTGCTTTATATTTAAATCAAAATTTAGGAAATGTATATGTATGTATATATGTATATGTATTCATGCAACATATATTTACATACAAGAAAACATTCTCCTTTTTTATGAAGAGTATTTTTCTACTATGACACATCATTATAAATGTTAGCTCTGGAGTTAGCTCTGGAGTGGTGGGCATTTTCAATTTGCATGCACATTTCATTTTTTATATTGTTTTGCTAACCTTCATACTGCTCTAAGTTCAACTTCTTTTGAGCTATTTAAAAAGCTAAATGCCTTACGGTTATATGAATTTTATATGATTTGAAATTGTATTAAAATGGAAGAGGATTAAAATGTTATGCTTAAAATATTTGTTACAGCCTTTGATAATTTATAAATTTGGCTTCCTCTAGGATGAACTGTCACAGAGGCTTGCTCGTCTTCGTGATCAAGTGTAACTTAAATAACTGGTGCTTCTGCTTCCTCCACGGATTTCTCAAACATCATTTGTGTGTGTATATATAGATAAGTTGTATTCTAGTTTCAAAAGCATCATACATGACAAAATGTTTGGATAACATATGTGATGCTTTCTTTCGCCTTGTGTATTTCACAGTGCATTGAGAAATTCCAAGGAATTTCCGTATTGGCAGATTTTATAGTTCTATATATTATGCGTAAAAGTGTGAGGGACATATTTTTGTAGATGTCTTTGGCAAAGGTAGCATTAGTTTTCTGTATATTATACATCTTCCTCAAATATTAGAGCAAACATCTAGCACCAAAGTACCGCTAAGTAAAGTAATTTTGTCAGAATAATATATAGAATAAAGGCTTTGTTTTTACTTATTGAAAGTAACTTTCAATTATTGTCTGTGATGAAATTTGATTTTGTAAAAATAAAAACAGGGAAATCATGTTCATTTAATATGTTTACCAGAACATAGCCCAGATCATCTTATTTTAAGTATCAAAAAATAGACTGTATCAATTTCTATGAAAATTATTTTTGTTTTGTATGTATGGTTATTTTGCCTGCATGTTTAACTGTGTACTTATTTGTGTGTCTGGTGCCCACAGAGGCCAGAAGTAGACATTGGATTCTCCTGGAACTAGAGTCACAGACAGTTGTGAGCCAAAATGTGGATGCTGGGATTCAAAGCCATCTCTTCTAGAAGACCAGCCAGTGCTCTTAACTCCTGAGCCATGTGTCCAGCCTCTGTTTTGTTTTGTTGGGTTTTTTTTTTTTTGCTTGTTTATTTTAGAGACAGGGCAGAAATATATAGCCCAGAATAGTCTGAAACTCAGTGAAACTCCAGTTTTGGTCTCTAGGTATATGCCATAACACCTAGCTCATTTTCTATGATTTTAGAGGGGTATGTTGTTATGCACATTAGTTATTTTGTTGTTGTTGTTTCTGTGATAAACACTATGTCCAAAAGTGGCTTATGGAAGAAAGAAGGTATTTTGGGTTATGGTTCCAGGGTGATTAGGGATCCATCATGGTGGGGAGGCGTGGCAGCAAGAGCAGAAGGTGAGCTGTTACATGTTCAATGGCATACACAAAGCAAAAAGAACAGGTTGCAAGTGTGACATGCCTAGAAGCTCTCAAAGCCCACCCCAGTCACATACTTTGTTTAGTAAAGTTGCATATCTCTGTACCTTCTCCAAAAGGCACCACCAACTGGGAAATAGTTATTCAAATGCCTATGGAAAACATTTCTGGTTCAGACCACTACATTCCTCTCCCTGACTTCCATAGACTCAGAGCCGTATCATAGTGCAAAATGTAGTTAGTCTAACTTTAAAGGTGCCCATCGTCTTTGTCAGTCTCAATACTGTTTGAAATTTCAAAAGTCCAGCATCTCTTGTGAGGCTCAAGGCAATCTTTTAACTGTAGCCACTGATAATATCTAAAAGCAAATAATATACTTCCAACATACAGTGGGACAGATTATACATTATCATTTTAAAAGGGAGGAATGGGGACAGAGTGAGGAAGTACTGGACTACAGAAAGACTGAAAGCTCACAGGGCATAAAAATAAGTAAATCCTGTAGTTCTGGGTCAGATGTCTGAGACTGCTGTCAAAGGGCCTGGATGGCTTAACCCCTCCAGCTTTGCTACCTGATACAACAGCTCACTCTCTAGTACCAACTTCTACATTAGTTATTTTTCTGTTGCTCTGATTAAGCACCATGACCAGAAGCAATTTATAAATGAAAGAGTTTGTTTTGGCCTACAGTTCCAGGGGGATAAGAAAGAGTCCACCATGGCAGGGAGACATGATAGCAGGAGCAAGAAGCTAAGAGATCATGCTGTCCATGGTACACATAAAGCAGAGAGAGCCAATGAGAAGTGTGGCAAGACAATACACTCTCAATGCCTGTTGCTGGCAAAATAATTCCTCCAGCAGAGTTGTACCATGACCTGTACCATAACCTTCCCAACTGGTGACCAAAGTTTCAAATCTGTGAGCCTATGGGAGGAATCTTTCATTTAAGCCACCACATTATGTAAACACAGTAAATATTTACTCTGTTTTCATCAGCTGTTAAGTTGAAATTATTACAGTTTTTAGCCAGTAATTTAATGATGACTATTCATTAATTTTTAAGGCGTTTTAATGGACAATTTATTACATAAGTCAAAAAATTCTGCAATGTTAATCCAAAGTTTGTATTGGAACACCCTAGCTACCCATAGAAGAAATTTGATGGGCTAAAGTATATATGGCATAAAGAATGTGTTCTCTGTTGATATGAATTAAATAGTTTCTGTTCTTGTAACCTGAATAAAACTTGTTAGATTTGTTCCTATCATGTAGCTCCATAGCTAACTACTGTTCATCCTTTTATGTTACAACCATGTCAGACTTGCCTTTTAAAGATATCAGTATCAGGGCTATAGAATTAGGAGCTCATACTACTGTTACAAGATGTCCCAGCAGCACATCAATCACCTCACAACATCCTGTAAATCTGCCTCCAGGGGATTCAGTGACCTTTCCTGGTCCCCACAGGCTACCTGAACTCATGTGTAGATGCACATAGACACACACACACACACACAATTTTAAAATAAAAATATATTGGACACGGTCACACATACCTTTAGTCCCAGCACTCGGGAGACAGATACATAATGAGACCATATCTCAAAAAATAGTTTTCAACCATTGATGAGGCAGGTAAGATAGTTAAGTAGGTATAGGCACTTGCCACCAAGCCTGGCAGCTTGAGTTGAGTTCCTGTGACCCACATGGTGGATGTAGAGATCCAGCTCCTGCAACTTGTCCTCTGACCTCCACACACATACCATTGCAGGCACGTAATTTTTACAATTAAAAACTACATCGATGAACAGTAAGTTTTATTTTTCCTTTTATTCATACTTTTATCATTGTAATGAAAATGTACCTCTTAGACTTTATTCTTAAACCAATAACCTAAGCATGTGATGGTATCATTTGATTGAATAGATGCTTAAAACATCTTGTTACATTTTCCCCTGTTGGATAAAAGGCTGATGATAATTCTCCATTTCTTCATGTGTCTTAATGCTTAAAGCCTTCTGGTTGCCTGTGAACCATTTTAGGTAACATTATGGACTATGTTATTTTAGCTGGTTAATTGATTATTTACAAATGCCATGTGGAGAAGAAGGAATGAGAGATGAAAAAGGTAACTCTGAGAAGAGATGTAGGTTTTAGGAAATTCTCAGGAAGGAGCATCTGTATTATCAGAAGAAAGCAAAATGAAATGATAGAGTGAGAGAAGCAAACTTGCCAGCTTCCTATGGATTAATAATGTTTGTTCCTAATGATTTCAAGAGAAACTGAAAAAGAGTCCCATTTAAGATTTCTAATAAGACCTAGAGAGATGGCTCAGAGTTAAGAGTACTGGCTTCTCTTGCAAAGGACCTCGGTTCAGTTCCCAACACCCACATGGTGGCTCAAAACTGTCTGTAACTCTAGTCCCAGGGCATCCAACCTCCTTTTTTTAATGTCTATGGGTTTCTTTGCACATGTGGATTCAGACACGCATGAATACATGTTTTTGAAGTTACATTAACTCGTACTATTTTTGACAGGATTTTGTAGTCTAATTTTTTCATAATCATTATTCAGTTATTCAAAACTCATTCCTCTAATACTAATTGAGAGTGTACTTGCTATGACAGTTAGGTTTTTTGAGACTGAAGAGAGGCAGAACAAGTTATTCTCATTTTCTAGATAACTGCAATCGAAGCTACTAAGTGATCTCTACAAGATCAGGGCCAGCTCACCTGTGGAGCTGAACTCCAGGATTTTCACTACTTTCTCTGTTGCTTATGGCATTCATTGCTCACACAACACCTACAAACTAACTTATCTTACCTGCTTCCAAAAACAGAGAGTGTATGAGGAATGGTCAACTCCTGCATTGTCATATCAATTCAAAACAAAATTATTCGCCATCTACTGTTTTGGGAAATATTTGGGGGTTTCTACCCCACCTTAGATTATTTAGTTCCCAAGTAAAAGATTCAAAACCTTTATAATAAGCTTTGTAGCACTAGGCCTGGGCAGATATCAACCCTCTGTGCTATTTTGTCTACTTTCCTGTCAATAATCCTGAGATACCACTTGCCATGTTCTTCCTAGCCCACTCCTACTCCAACAGGCGGGTCCTCATGGCTATGCGTTCATGATCTATCTACACCATGGCGCCTTCTTACTTCTCCTCTCTGCTTTGTGGTCTCTGCCTCAGACCACCAGCCTGGAAACTGAAGCCCTGCCTACCATTCTTTTGCCCAGCTATAGGCTGTAGGCATCTTTATTCAACCAATAGTTTTAAATTAAGGAACAAAGTTTGCACAACAAAAGCTGGTATATTTGAGAATTTATTGAGGCAAATAGACTTTGGGGTACAGAATTTAGCATTACAATACATAGCAACAGACCAAACCTCAAGAATTTGCTATATTTCTGATTTCCCACTATTCAGTGTTCCTTCCTTAGAGGTACTTTTCATAAAAATTCCTTGAAATAATACACTATTAATAGTATCACCAGTTCCTTAAGTATGACCTTATCTAACTTCAGTAACTCAAATGCCTCGTTCTAGCAAAATATCTGAAATATAATAAGCCTAAGTAAATGTTGACTGGCATAGAGATTAACATGGATAAAGTGAACCTCCCAGAAATAGGATTGGAGTGGAATTGGAAGTCTAAGGCTAGGTGTTATAAAGGGAGTGCATGGCGTGGACTTTGGAAAGACATGGGAAGAATCTGCTGCAGATAAACTTTGTCAGTCTGTATGGTACATAGAGTCTGTCTTAGCTCTTATAGATGTGATTACTTCAACATCTCTTAAAGTTCGGTGCAGTCTACCTACCCTTAGTTCTTTTGTTACATCTTTGTCACTCACACTAGAAAACAACTTAATGTCTATGTTTTTATTGGGAGAGAATTAGATCTCCACTGTCTCAATGTGTTTGACATGCCTTAGTGTACACCTGAATTTGACATGTCAGTAGCATCTTTGCCAAACTGGAGAGACTGTGAATGATGGATATTTCAGTGCTCAATAAACAGTTCTAGAACGATTATTTGAAGTTGGCTGTACTCTGTAACTAAGTCCCATTTAGATCAGCTTTTGATAGGTTTCAAAGGGGAACCTGAAACATAAAGCTATTGTAGTGTCTCTGCAAGTATACTGCTCCAAATGGCAATATCAGTTTTACACAAGCAACTTGCCATCAAAGCATATTATTATTAAGCCAAGCGTAGTAGTTGTATATATTTGTAATCCCATTGCTCAGGAAGCTGAAGAAAAGAGGAGAAGATGAGAGGAGAAGAGAGGAGAGGGAGAAAAAAGAAAAGGAGGAGAGAGAGGACACCTTATAGTTGTGGCAATGTATTTGCTGCCTATAGGCATTGGCCTCCTATCTTTACTAGACTAAGAAAAAAGAAAAAAACAGCTTCATTAAAGACCTAGTGTATAAGTGGAGAAGAGGCAGTCTTTTAAAAAATCCTATAGAATATTTTGCTGCATTGGTACATTCTAAACTTGGGGAATCATTGACTTAATAAGACTTAGTGTACTCAATGCCTTTACAATGGTGGGAGTTGAATTCAGTGTCCTAGATCTGCTAGACAAGTTCCCTACCACTGAGCTACATACATCCCCAGCTCTATTTTTCTTTTTAATAGGAAGGAGCTATATTTAGGATTTTATAAATTTCCACTGTTACTTAGAATATGTAGTAAAGTGCAAAGGACATCTTGACTAAGCATATTCATAATTTTCCATCATGAATGAACAATAACATAACTTGAGGCCATTAATCCCAGCATTTCAGAGGGAGAGGCAGATATATCTCTATGAGTTCGAGGCTGGCATAGTCTAGATAGTGAGTTCCAGGGCAACTAAGACTACATAGCAAGACTTCATCTCAAACAAATAAAAGAATAAGTAGTTTTAAATTTAAATGTATTTATGTCACAAAAGTCTAGGTTATACGCAACACCAGTTCCTACTAAATTTCCTGGAAGTTGGACATTTACCTTATCTCTTAGAAGCCCTCCAGTGATTTCAGGGTCAGTCAGGACTGAGAACATTTGTTCCAAACCTTGGCTACATATTTTATTTGGGAAGATTAAAATCCCCGCCCCGTGTGTGTGTGTGTGTGTGTGTGTGTACATACTTGTGTGTATCTTTTCAGGACTGACCACTTGGTGTTCCTCTTATCTAAGGAAGCCTATTTTCCTGTTCTCAGCATTCCTTAGTTGCCTATGGTTTTTCGTGTAGGCTAAGAAGCCATGAATTTGAAAGAGAGCAAGGAGGAGTAGGTATATGTGAGTGTTTGGAGGAAGAAGAAATGATGTTATTTATAACCTATAAAATAATTTAAAACAAAATCCTGAATCAAAACCACCAATTAAATATAATTCTCTAGGATAACACCTTCTAAATGTTCACCCTTAACCTGTAGGGATTAGAAACTTCAGTTCTGGAAGCTACTTTTCTACCTCTTCCATTTCAGAGAGTAGGACCTATGGCAATGAGTCCAGCTTCATTGGTTTTAGGAAACTAGTAGAGATGGAGATTCCAGAAGTCAATAAAATTTATAATTTATGTTTACAATATTGCCAGGTATCTGCCTGCCCAAGTATGTATATGTTTTTTAGCTTAATATGATTTTTGTTTCCTTACCTTCTATTCCCAAAGGCAGTACTGCATTCATCTTTGTAATATATGATGTATTTTTATATGCAATACTTTAAAACCTTATACATATTGTCATTTTTATTATAACAAGTGTGCTGAATGATTTTAAGTCAACTTGACACAAGTTAAAGTTATTTGAGATAAGGTAACCTCAATTTAAAAATGCCTCAGTATAATCAGGTTGTAGGCAGACCTGTAACTTATTTTCTTAATTATGGTCCCATAAAAAAGCAGGCTGAGCAAGCCATGAGGAGCAAGCCAATAAGCAGCACCCCGCCTGGCCTCTTCATCAGCTCCTGCTCCCAGGTTCCTGCTTGTTTGAGTTGCTGCACTGACTTCATTCAGTAATGAACAGTGATACAGAAGTGTAAGCCAAATAAACCCTTTCCTCCCTAATTTACTTTTTGATCAGGATGTTTCATCACAGTAACAGAAATCCTAATTAAGACAACAGGTAAGTAAGTAAATTTTTTCTGCCTCAACATCATCATTACTGTGAATTGTAAATTATGTTACCCAGTATAAAAGTTCTAAAGGGAACACTAAGGACTAATTTTCAGTGAGCATTGAGACATCAAAGCATTAATTTATCAGTGTCAGTCTCTGAACCTCAATTTTCTTCACCTGTCAACTCAGAACAAAGATACTCACTCTGCTATCTATGAGTAATATTTTTAGAATCAAATAATATAAAATCTGAGTGTACACTTTGAAGTGTGAACTAAACCCTATTACTAAAAGAGGTTATGAAGTCTTATTCTCCTGTAGAGATAAATAGTCAGTGTCAGAAATCAAGGCGTTCCTAGAATTATTGAATCCTTGGGCTAGAAAGAGAAAGGTCTTTAGCTGCCATTTATATAACATCTTCATTGTTTATACAGTACAAATGAAAGTTATAGAGAAAATGACATACTTGAAGTTACCAGAAAATAGTGACATAACGAAGCGGTGATTTGAAGATAACAACTTATCTTGGATCCCTGGCTTTTGCAACCATTTCACATTCTGTCCCCTTCTTTGTTCTTGTCTCCTCCATTATCTGAGCTCTTTGTGTTCCACACTGTAAACAAAGTGCTGATTGGACATGAGCCATTAAACAGTAGGATTGCTTTGTAGAAGACATGGAGTTCATGTGATCAGTTAAGACTTCCCTGTGAACTGTACAACCCTGTGTGTATCAGAAGCAAGGGGATCCTGAACAAAGAAGTGAGTGGGGTCGTGTTTCTTAAACTTTGTGCTTAGGGACTTTTCTCATTGTCGTTCAAACTACTATTCATTTCCTAACACCAAAAAAAAAAAAAAATCACATCTCAGAGCAAGGCTTACTTCGATTATTAAACTTTCTGATACAATATAATTGTGTGTGTGTGTGTGTGTGTGTGTGTGTGTGTGTCCTTGTTTTAACAGTCATTTAAAGGAGTCCAAGTTTGAGTATTAATAAGCAGGAGTGGACAATGAAGTGGCTCAGCAGGTAAAGACCACTTACAGTGCAAGTGTGATGTCCTGAATTTGATCCCTGAAACCCACACAAGGGAAGGAGAGAACTGCTCAAGAGTTGTCATACACACACACACACACACACACACACACACACATCTTGATGCTAAAAATAAGGTAATTAGAAGAATGGACTGAAGCAGGGATGGTACATTTAGTCTTATAATGAAGGCAAGCATTACAGCAAAGGAGCAGATAAAGTAACTGCCCATAGAGAGGTTGTGTGTGAACACTTAAAAGTTTTATGTATGATAAATGATCTTGATTTTTAAGATATGGTTCTAGAAATACATTATCTTCCAAGGGTCACCACTTTATCTCACACATGAAATTAATAGTTTCACCAGCATAAAAATCCACCTACATCCTTGACCCTTCCCTATCTACTCAAAATTAAAATGTAATTGCTAAATAATTGAGTTAACAACCATCGAGATTTCCTTTAAGACATATCATGGGAAACCTTAATTTGCCCTCCATCAATGTTATACATTAGTTCCAGCCTGTTACAAAAGACTGAGACGAATTGATACGACCTGGAAGTTGATAAAATCCATGACAGTTGAACACTTAACTTTTCCTTCAAACATTTAACAAAGAATTACTTTGAACATCTCAAAAGACCTATACACTTCTGCGAGCATACTTTGTTTCCATGATTAAATGTTAATGTCATCACATTTCAATTATTCAGACAGCAAATAGTAATGTTTATTATATTAATGCTAAAAGGCTACATTATTTAGTAAATCAAAGGAGATTATAGATTGCTGCTAGAAACTTTGTTTCAAAATTAGAGCATACTGCTTTCTCTCTTCCCCTGGATCCTCTGACCTTTAATTTTTCAGTAAATTCTACACTGCTGTTTTGCTGATTTAAGTGTGTTTGCATGCAAAGAGCCACTTAGCTGAAGTATAATGAATAATATGAATAATGTGACCACATGGCATCAGTGGAAGACAGAACTGGCCTGGAAGATCATGCTGATTAAATTGTCAGAAAATTTGTGACCTGCTTGAATTTAAATAACTTGTAATTGGCCATGCAGAGAACAAGTGCAAGAATATATTGACATCTTTTAAAATTGAATTTGCTTTCAGTAAATTGTTAGAACTTGGTCAGCCTTGACAACTGCCTATTTTCAAAACAGTCTCCTTGATTATTGACATATTAAGTGACTATTGTGATAGCAGCACTTCTGATCCACTTTTAAGCATTGCTTGTAAGCTATTAAGTGCTTCAGTTTTTATTGGATTAATGGTATTAACATGTTCCTATTTCCATCATTTTAGAGATTAAATTATTTATTATTGCTTATATGTGAGGTGAACATTTTGAAAGTAGTATCAGCTTATGTCTTTTCTTTATCCAGCCTTGACACACTCCCTTTTACTTGGGACATTTAGACTAGTCTTACTTGCTGTGATTAATGTCAATAAGCAAATGGCTGATTTTGAAATTAAACAGTATATTTACCCTTAAATTGATCCTTTTGTTTTCCATTTGTTTTGATTTTGGTTTGCATTCATTTAGATTAATCAAGCATTTTTGCAATAATGTTTTAGCTACTTTATTGGCTGATTAGCTATATTTAGTTAGAATCTACCTGAAATATATTTCACTTCATGTATAATATAACTTCCATTTCTCCTTACAGCTTGCATTTTCTCCTACCTTATAAGCATATTATGTTTTAATTATACTCCAAATGTTCTACCATATTTTTAAGGAGATTTAAATAATTTTAATGATAATTGTTGTAACTGTAGATTTTGTGTATATCCTCACACATGTGTGCATATATCACCTTAGTGTGACTAACATTATTAATGTTTTATAGTTGTGGTTATATTCAGATTTTGTGTGGGTACTATTTTCCTTCCACTTTAAGTTCTTCCTTTAGCATTGCTTATAACATCAATTTTCTAATGGTAGGTGTTTCTATTTTTCATGGCTTAAGTCTTCCATTTTTAATTTTGAGAGATATTTTCAGTTGACACATTAAAATGGTGGTGTTTTTTCACACTAAAGGTTTTACTACACTGTGATCCTTTTTGTGTATTGCTTCTGAGAAAAATATGGTTTCACCTTTTTGCTTCTGTATGTAGAGTCTTTTTTATACCTCTGTCTGATTTTAAAATTTATATCCTTTGTCACATATGTTTAATATTCAGCATTATTTTTTAATGATTTTTGAGGTTTGGTTTCTTGAATTTCTTACATGGATTTCTAAGTTTATAATTTCATCAGTTTTAGAAATTTTTTCTGACATTATGCCTCCACATATACCAGAGAGAGTTCTGAAGATGACTATCTGATATCCACAGCCTGTCTCTACCCAAATCAAGACATGCTACTCTCATATGCCTTCCTTTATCTTCTTTGGTTTGTAAACATTCACATAGCTATCCCAAGAATTTTCACAACCTAGCTAGGATTTAACAATATATGGCTGGCCAGCAATCTGATCCTACCCATACTAGCTCTTTAGAATAGAATTGAGCAGTGTTGATGTCTGGAGCCTTTGGTATTTTAGGAACTAGGACTATTGTTTGAATATTCTTCTCAACTACTTTTTCCCTTCTAGTCAGTTACATTTATAAAGGACTGGTGGCCATCGAATTTAAAGCATTTATTCTTTGTATAACAGCAAAGGAATGTGTGTTGTCCATGTTTGTTACACGACTGGTTACAGTTGGACTTTGGGCAGGTGCTGTGGGGAGTATGTGAGTACAAGTACACACATGCCATGGAATGACTGCAACATGCAGTAGGAGACCACAGATTTGGGTCCTCATCTTACATATTATTTGAAATAGGGGCACTTTCTCCTTACCTGGTTCTTGGCTTCTGCATAGGTCAGAATAGCTAACCTGTTTGGTTGCTGGGACTCTCCTGTTTCAGCCTATTTTCTTCTTTTTTCTTTCTTTTTGTACTTTCCTCCCTTCAAACCCTTCTACGTACCTGCTTACTGCTCTTTTTCAAATTTATGGCCTCTTTTTTTCACTAATTGTTATTGCATGCATATGTATGTATATACATATGCCTGAATGTAAGCCTGCGCAGACCGTATAATGTTACTTGTATGTATGTTTTCAGGGTTGATCATCAGGCACTGGACTGTGCCTAATGATTAATTGATGTTCTCTTTCCTGGAGAGGATAACTCTCCTGCTCCCAGCTTTACTTAGTTGCTTGTAGTTCTTTGTGTAGGGTTGAGGCTATTGGGCTTTTCTCCATCCAGTTTCATTGGTGCCATCTTTGTTCAGCTTGCATCTGGGCAGTCATGTCATTTTGTATTAATAAGTCATTTTGTATTTTGATAGTTTTCTGGCATATTTTCACGGGTGTGTATTTCCTGTTGTCTCTTCTAATTTGAAAGATGCCACTTTTACTAACTTCACTGGTTTTCTCCATTTTCTCACCAACTCCCATGCCTTTATGTAACACCTATATGCATTGTCCAGAACTCCTGAATGTGCCTAGGACTTATCTTGTGTTTTTGTATTCCTTGTACTCAGCTTACTGTTCCTCTTCAAAATGTATTTTTGATAAACTTGCTTCTTACTACCTTTACTGTTACTGTCTGCATCCAGTCATTATCATTTCCTGCTGGGATAGCCTTCACCTTCTAACCAGTTTCCACTACACCATCCTATTTTTAAAATAAACCTTATTTTTATTGATATATACTTTCATAAAATGAACATTTTCATATTGTGATAGTATTAGACCTCCTAGTCACAGTGCCTTTTTTATACAGCAGATAACCATTTAGCTGTTCTAAATGCAAAATTTCAACTAAATAAGCCATTCTTCCCATGTAAGGCCAGTGTTTGCTGAGACCAGCAGAATCCCTGATAAAGGAAAGAACAGAGTGCACATAAATTAAACAAACAAGCAAACAAACAACAACAACAACAAAAACACCTGCTCCCAGCTTTCCTAGGTTACCTATAGTTACTTGTGTAAGGTTGAGGCTTCATGGTCATTTCCTCATCCACTTTTGGATGTCCCTTGGTGTCATCCTTGTTCAGTTTACAATTAGGCAGTCTTCTTAGTAAAGCTTTACAGGAGTAGCTTCTGATATTTCTAGAAAACACAGCCTCACAGCAAACTCCCCTGATCCTCTGGCGCTTACAATGTTTTCACCTCCACTTCTGCAATGTCTCTGAGCCTTAATTGTGTTTTGTAGATGTAACTAGCCTCTACAACTCTGCATTTTGATCGGTTGTGGTTTTCTGTGGTGGTTTCCATCTGTTACAAAGACAAGTTTCCTTTATGAGTAGTGAAGAGTACTCTTATTTGTGGATATAAGAACAAATGTTTATATATTGCTATTAGAGATTATGCTGGCTTAGTGATTTAGTGGTTGTAGATTCTCCTCCAATAACTATTACTTCACTAGCACTAAGTAGTTTGTTAGATTTCTAGTATTAGTCAAGGTTTTCCTGTTGTTGAGAGTGTCTTAAGTCGAATCAGAGAGTTATTGGTTACCACCAAGGTATGAATACCACTACTATACCCTTAGGGTTATTATGCCTTGCTGGTCATTGATGTGGTTCATAGGTGTCATAGTTGATAAGGCTGTTGCCCTTCCTCCTCCTCACCCCCACTTTGGTAGCTTACATGGTGAATGCCAGTAGGATATGTTGATGAGGCAGAGTCAGGAGGATTGTGGGTTCCAGGACAGTGTGAGCTACTATCTTTTTAAAACAATATTTTTTTATTCCTGTAGTATAAGGACAAGAGTTGTAGCCATATCCTACCATGAGTACATACACATACACACACACACACACACACACACACACACACACACACACACACATATATATGTTTTGATTCTTTGAACATTTCGTGCACTTTATTTTGAGCATATTCAACCTCCCTCAATTTCCCTGTTTAGCACCATTCCAACCTTCCAATTCCCTCCCAACCAAATCTGGGGTTATTTTTATTATTATTTTCTTCCCCTATTGAATCTAATTTGTGTTTCCCAGCTCAACTTGGTATTGGAGCCTGCTGTGGTGTATGGTTAGCCTACTAAGGGTCACATCATTTAAATAATAAAAATCTGTATTTCCCGCAGCTATCAAATGCTAATAGCTTCTCAGCTAGTTCTTAAGACCATTCTACTTTAAGTTTTCAGCAATAGCAATTTAATTGGCTAAGTTTACTTTATAAACAGTTGCTCCTTTCCTTCTTAGAAGACATTGCTCCAGTTGTCAAGGAAAGGGGAGAAAGGCATAAAAGGAGAGACTGAGCAACAGCTGTCCAGATCATCACATGGAGGAAACATTTGAACTGATGATTAACTGAGACAAAACTGAAGATATTGAAATTCACTAAATCCTCACAATGATTATTATCTCTTCCTCTAACCTAAACATTTTCATCTTCCACTTTATTTTGGTCATCTAAAGAAGTTATCCTTCTTACCGTTCGCAGGTTTTGAAAATGAATTGTACATGAAATAATAAAATGGTATACATCCTGGGTTTGGTAACAGTACCATTGTTTTATAAGATTCTGTGATTATTCTTTGGAAATACATATTGAAATATTTAGAGGCAAAACTTCATAATTTGAAGGATCTCTCAAGTGTTTCAGTAAGGAAAACAGAAAGTTAATTTATTTTTAAAAAGTTTTTAGTTTATCTGAAAGAGAAAAGGTGTCAGATTTCTATCTTTATCTTCAGGGACTGGCTATAGCAACAAGTCTCATTTCCTTGGCCCAGGGTCATACAGCTGGAAACTGAGAGGGCTGAGACAGAAACCTATGGTTCAGACATTTTGTTCTCTCCTTTGAAATTGTGTATTATGCCATCTGAACTTACATTTCTTTCAGCTTATGACTAAGGAACAACTAATCTTAAGATTTTAGTGAAAATATTGAAGGTGTATTATTTCTCTTTAAACTCAGCTTTTTTAACAAAATAACTCAAGTGGAAGCTTTGTTAAGTGCCTCAAACAAATGCAGCAAATGTGATTTCCACCTTCAGCTCATTTGCAGTACATCTTACTTTTGCAACTATATGATATTGCATATATGTTGGCCAACAGAAACTGATAAAACATGGTGATCTACATTAGTGAATCCATTGAGTCACAATTGTTTTTCAATCTTCCCTTTCTCTTAAGTATTATTATTGTTACATTTGTCTGCCCAGAAAATGCTCAGGCTGCTGTTTGAACAGTGTTCAATCACTTCCTTTTTGAAGGAAGTATTTCAAATGTAGTAGTCAACGCATGTAGGTTTTCCAATGTAATTTTGTTTCAAAATCTAATTGGAAATCATATTCAGATAGATAGATAGATAGATAGATAGATAGATAGATAGATAGATCACCTTAATACTTTGTAAGGAACCTTGGAAATTGGAAACAGTTTTATAAAGTTCTTTTAAAAGCAAACAGAAAACATGGAGTATGTGGATCCTTGATCAGACACACATTGTGTAGTCCACTGTTTGAAAGTAATGTAGCAGTCATTAAGTTTTTAGAGTTTTGTTTTGCTTTCAGTAGACAGGAACTCAATATTTTCCCACTTTGATCAATTAATATATACTTCTCTGATGCACAGATTGAATAGTTTTTCTATAAGATGGATGAAAGAAACAAACCTGAGCAAAAAAGAAAAACTTGGAATTTTTTTTCCAGTATTTGAGAGCATGCTGAGTAGCCAGGGTCAAAAGAGTCTAGAGATTTCAAGACAGCTGGTAACTATATTTGTCACACGTGTGGTGTGTTAATTGAAATTTCTTCAATGGTAAGTAGAAACGTTAGTAGGCAATCTAAACAGAACTGAAAATAGTGCTTCTACAAATCAATTACCATCTTCACATGGGTGAGCAGAAACATCCTGCAAGTCTGTGGTGACCGGCAGCAAAGGACTGACAGCAACAAATGGAAACTGGAGTGACTGCTACTCCTAGCTCCCAGGGTTACTGACCTCTACAACGCCATGGGAAACACAAACAAAAGGAAAACAAGAGCTGAAAGAAGCAGACAGTAAATCACCAAACTGAATTATGCTGTACTGATACAGGGTGCTTCCAAACATTGATTAATGTCAGGTAGTAGATTAACGTGAGACACACAGAAGTAGAACCATCATGAAATCCATCTAACTCAGACCTGTGAAGGTCAACATCTGCTTGCTGTCTTTCCGTTGGTGCTGGGAAACATGTATGTACACACACACAAAGACACACACATGCACACACACAAATGATTCTATGTTTTCTTTTGATGTTCCAGTAGATAATTGATCGTTTAAAAGTTTTCTCTCTTTCAGGTGGCTAATTTCTATGAGAATTATCTATCACCACCTTGATTCCACCCATCTTTTTAAAAGAATGCATGGGAAAAATAAAACCTGCTTTGACCTCTGTTTCATTGCAATGTAATTCCACATGCCTGAGAAGAAAACCATATGATGAGGCCCATATGCTATTAATAGAAAAATTGGTTACCCCAAATCTTGTTAGAATAATTTTTAAGAACTTTAAGGTTGTTTTTTAACTGACAAATCAGGAAAGTCAAAGTTTGGGACCACTAGTGTTTTGGAAAGTATGACGGGGGAGGGGAGGAATAAAAGACCAAGCAGACTATGGCAACCTATTTCTTAAATTCTACCAAATTTTACCTACTAAGTTCAGGTCATTTTCTTTCTGGATAGCCTGCTTATTTTCACTCTATTGAAAGATACTTTGGTTTTTATTAATATATATTAATTGTATAAACTAATGCATTTCATTATTACCTTTTCATATGTGTAGGTTCTGTATTCTGATAATATTTATCCCATCTGTTGCCCTGTCTTATATTCTCTCCCTCTGGACTATTTCCTAGGAGAGATTTGTTTATGCATCTTGGGACTATCATTTCTCAAGAACTTGATCTGATCAATATATGGATATTGAAGTTCCTGCTGAATTTGTCATTCATATTTTGTTAAGGGACCAACGAGGAAAGTCATTGGCTCCTAAAAAGCATATATGGTTAACAGTGAGCAGGATATTTGACAACTGTGAGAATTCCCATCTCCATCTTTTATTGTTAATTTGAGGGGGAGGAAAATAATAAGGATAGAGACTCAGGTTAGCATGCTCACTAGTCATTGAAAGTGTAATCAGGAGTAAGTCTGAGTCTTTTGTGTCTTCAGTCCTCCGTACATACAGCAGGTATACACGTATTCATCACTAGGCACATTGTCTCCCATTGAGGTCAGACAAGGCAGCCTAGCTAAAAGAACACATCCCACTGATAGACAATAGCTTTTAGGATAACCCCCCTCACTCCAGTTGTTTGGGACCCACATGAAGAGCAAGCTACACATCTGCTATATATGTGCGGGGAGGCCTAGGTCCAGCCCATGTCTGTTCTTTGGTTCATGGTTCAGACTCTGAGAGCCCCAAAGTACCAGGTTAGTTGACTCTGTTGGTCTTCCTGTGTAGTTCCTATATTTTTTAATTGAAATAGAAATACATGATTATCCCCCTCCTAGCTAATCTTCCTCTAACTGTTCCTGAGGTCCTCCCATCTCAAATTGATACGATTTTAAAAATTATTATTGTTACATATGTGTATATTCACAAATACATATATAAAGTGCTGGATTTGTTTTGTTTGTTTGAGTATATATGGTTTCAGGGCTGACCATTCTGCATTGGACAACCAATAAGGAGGTTCATCCCTTGATGAGTCTAATTTTTCTCCCAGCAGTCAATAGTTGTCTATGGTTCTTTGTCTAGGTTTGAGACCCCATGTCATTTCTCAACTTGTATGTTAAATTGTCTTTTGATAGTTCCACTGTTCTGATCTCATTTTTACAGCCATTTTAGGAGAGGCCATTTCACAGCAAACTTCCAGGTGTTCTTGCTCTTACAATCTACTGGCCCCATCTTCCACAATATTCCCTGACTTGTAGATGTAGATGCTTTGGTATAGATGTATCCATTAAGACTGAGGTCCTCATGATTTACAGATGTTCTTAGCTCTCCAGATTTCTAGTGTGTTCTGTGTATACATAGATTTGCATTTTATTCTGGCCTTACTAGCAGTATGATCTTAAAATAGTAACTTTCTTGAACTTTTGTCTTCCTGCTAGCAAGACAAACAAAATAATAATTCTTACTTCGCAGACTTTTTTATTTTTGGATTGAATAAGAAACTCTTTCAATGCCGGTTTATTCTGTAAATAACTACAGCCACCAGCTTTATAATGTTTACTGCTTCAGATTTTGTTTTATGTATTTATATTAATTTAGATCATCACAAAGACTCTGTGAAACAGATATATTATAAATCCCCGCTATGTAGATGAGGAAACTGAAGCAGACATAGATTAATATACCCCAAATCACATAGCTGTGAAGTGGTAAAACCAGAATTTCTAGAATGGCTGATTTTTACCTTTTTCCAATTGTTTTATTTTTCTTCAAAAGAATATAATTACATAAAATGAAATTTGAAAACCCTTAAGTGAAGGAATGACTTGGACAATAGGACTTCTAAAACTAATTTTTGAAACAAGAGTGCATATTTGAGAGTATTTTAAATGAGCAGAAACAACAATAGAGGTAATGTCCTTATATTAACTTATGGTAAACTGTCCTTATCTGGGCACTACTACATAGTAGACCCTATATTGCTCTGGAAAAATTTCTAACCTGCTACTACTGTGCAATAAATACTCATATTTGCTATTGTAATTACAGAGTTCACAATCTGGTATGAGCAACTGTATATAAACAAATAAGATACAAAGTAGAAAACTTGGGAAAAAACTCTGGGAGTAGGTACTGGCAGGGGCAACATTTGGAATGTAATTAAATGAAATAATTTTTTAAAAAAAGAACTATTAATAGAAAGTAGGAGAATTAGGGCTTCTGAGGCTGAGGATTTATATGTTGCTGACAAACCAGGCTTAAGAGGAAAGGCAGTTAATTCATAAGCATGGGAAAAGGACGAGCTTTGCAAAGTACAGAACAGAAAGTGGAATTCAATTCTGAATGAAAGGTACAAACAAAGGGAAATGAGCATGTTTGGGGAATCAGTAATTTCTTTTGATTGTGAAAGTTACACATAAGACATGATATGAGCAAATTAGGAAATGTTCAGATTTAAGAAGGAAGAGATGTAAAAGTCAAAGAAAAAAATAGAACTTTAATCTACGAGTTCATGGAGTCAATGGAGACTTTTTAAAATGTTTTAATATGAACAATGAACTCAACTTCAGGAAAATTAACCTAGCATCCAATTGGATACTGAATTAGAGAGCAGGGAATTACAGACATGCATTGCTTTGCACAGTTATATGGATAGCTAGTTGATATTGATGAAGGCAAAAAGGGAACGTTTTCTCCTGAGTCAAGGGGACAGTTCAAAAATCATTTACTCAGATACACCCATTAAAATCTTTCTGTGGGAAAATCACTTTGGTGAAGTGACCTTAATTCCCTAGCCTCTCAAAGAGGCTTACTAAAATTATAACTTGATAACTGTAGTT